TATTTTAAAACATTTTCTATAAAAATTGATGAGGTTGACTCATCGCAAGTCTTCCTCGTATATCTTTAATAAAAAGTTTATTTGCACTCACTTGTTGCCTCACTAGCTTGCTTTACTACACTTATTGAAGTCACTTTCGAACCTTGTTATTTCCTTTAAGCTCATTTTGATCTCAATGTTGATTACAATCTACTCGAAAAATAATTACCAGACATAAAAATTTTGAACATATGTTAGTATCTAACTAACTTATTAAACACGTATTCATATGCAATCTTAAAATAATATTGTAATTAAATATTCAATACTAATTCATATAACTTAATAAATTCTATTCAACTATTGCAAAAATAACCTTTCTAGTCCTTGAAAATAATAATTCTCAACGTTAAATCGGGATAGACTTGACTTCTAAATGAACTAAGTAACCTCAATGACTGAGGATTAAATAAGTGATTTGGATGAGTCTGGGAACGCTGTTGAACTTATATGATGTATTATCCTTATGGGTCACGAACCACGAACTAAGTACATCGACATTTCCTGATATCGTTAAAACATGAAAATGAAATAAAGACCATTGGAAGATCTATTCAGCGATGATTCTGAAGATGATCTATGGACAAGAATTTTTGGTATTAAAGAGTAAATACCCTGGAAGGACAATGAATTGACCAGTCGACAAGCATTAGTTATGGGAGCTGTTCATCTTGAGTTGTTCGATAATCCGATCAATCGACATAGATTGTAAAGGTCTTGAATCTTTTTTCTCCCTTATCAGCTCAAATCACTCTGGTCATATATGAAAACACAAGCAACACATATGTAAAGGATTCTGAATACCCTTCTGATTACGTAGAGCTTCCGAAAAAATTCCGAATAAGATATAATCCTGATAAATCACATTCTGAATAACTGATGATTCTGTCAGTTAATGAACTCTTCCAATAGTGATTATAACTTGCGACATTCTATCGGTATACTGAAGATCCATGTTTCTCTACCTGATAAGATTATCCAATATTTTTGAATAATATCTAGAAACCCTAGTGTGTTCCCTAATCATATGAATATTTTACCTGATTTCTATTCTAATAGCTGACCTAAATTTTGTTTTGATACCTGACCTGGATTCTTTTCTGATATATGATCTGAATTATGTTTTGATTTCTTATATCTCTGTTTACTGACGAAAAATGTTTTATTTGAGGGTATTGTTGGAGGATGTATACCTGCAGGCTCCTCGAGTTTGTGCTCAGGGACTTACTGGACGTGACGGTGGGTGTATGGTTCTCGGGAACCTACACATTTGGACGTGTTTAGTTGGAGGGATTACTATGGTTTTTGAATTTTAGAAATATATTTTAAAAAGATCTGTATCTTTTCATTGGTTTTGTGGGAACACACTATATAACTAATTCTGATCTCCTGAACCCAGTCATCCCGAAATATTTCCCTCTGAAATGAAAGCTTATTGTCTGTTACTATCTGAGATATCAGTGGGACCTCAGTTCATCCTAAAATTATGTAGATGTCTGAACCAATAAGGAAATATATTTTTATCTTTATATGCACGTTCTTCAGCATCATCTGGTAGTTTTGTATTTCTGAGCTTTCCAAAGCTCACTCTGGTACTCACATTTTCAGGTTAAATAAATCGTACCAGTTCATCTATCGACATCAGTAAGAGAGTTCTCCGGCGTTGCTGGCGGAGTATGGTACATGTGATTAGGGGGCATGTAGGTTGTATTTTGTTTTATATACGAGTCTAAAAATCTGTTTTATTTCTGAATACTGATAAATCATTTTATTAGTTTACATGTTTTAATAAAAGTTTTAAATTTTTTTCGAGATTTTTACGGTGGGTCGCTCCGGTAGCCCTAATGTGACACCTCATATTAGATCGGGTCACCCGTATCAATCTGAGGGGGTTACAGATGTCCTGTCTGACTCTATACTCTGCTGACTTTACTTTAACTACGTGTGAACTAATCACACGCTAAGTTTTCCACTTATTGAGGCAACATACTAGTAAAATAAAATAAAATAACATAGAAAATAAACAATATTATATAAAAACATCACTAAAATAAATCATGCACAAAATAAAAACTAATAACAAAATTCTTTACTTTAAGACATATCAATTATGTATTGTTCTATTTCGATTCGTATCGCTGCCCATTATACTACCATGAGAATAAATTGTATGCAACTCTATGATTGAGTGTTCTATGCTATGTGCAATATAACTGCTAGTGTTTGTGTTGTATATTTAGTGCCTATAGTTGCACCGTAGATGCCCTATGAATGTACATGTACTATAGAACACATCAACACTATACTTATGAATCCTGAAACATAAATGTATCCAATAACTATGATGTACATAAATGTTTCTCCGTGTCATCTATCAAATAACACTCCATCTCTTGGTATGCCAATTGTTCCACTAACTCTCAATTTTCAGACAATGGGCTTATTCAAAATCATATATTATTTTGCATATAAAGTAACCATACATTCGAATAAAATCTCATAAATGTTGTATTGGAGAGTTCGTACCCAAAACAATCACATATTATGGAATAAAATAAATTAATAAAAAAGTATATTTCAAAATACTATTTTAAAACCTTTTCTATAAAAATTGATAAGGTTGACTCATCGCAAGTCTTCCTCGTAAATCTTTAATAAAAAGTTTATTTACCCTCACTTGTTGCCTCACTAGCTTGCTTTACTATACTTATTGAAGTCACTTTCGAACCTTGTTATTTCCTTTAAGCTCATTTTGATCTCGTTGTTGATTACAATCTACTCGAAAAATAATTACCACACATAATAATTTTGAACATATGTTAGTATCTAACTAACTTATTAAACACGTATTCATATATAATCTTAAAATAATATTGTAATTAAATATTCGATACTAATTCATATAACTTAATCAATTCTATTCAACTATTGCAAAATAACCTTTCTAGTCCTTAAAAATAATAATTCTCAACGTTAAATCACTTAATTTTTCACAATTTAACATTTAACCCACAATTATGCATTTCTTCAATTTAAACTCCCACATTTAGAAACTTATCAAATTGGTCCCTACTACTCACTTTAATCCCTAACAATCATCATACTCAACCAATTCCACAATACTTCAAAATTAGTATATTAATATTGCACTTTTGTAATTTCATTACTAACTTTCCCAAAAATTTCCAATTTAATCTGTTGGAATTATTCAACTTTCCAAATCAACCCAATTCAACATTTCATCATTCCAACTTTAATTTCCAACATAGTACCTTAATTTTTCAACAATTACTTAACAATCCTTCAATTTCTCAAAACTTACAAAAAGGTTATATAAGCTTAACATTGATCCAAAACTTAATTCAAACCTTATGAAATCATCATTCTATCTAATCTAAACCCAATTGGCCGAAATTTTTGATATTCTCCCCTAAAGGTCCTTAACTTTGATTCAAGCTTAATTTAATCATCTACAACACATTTCCAATCATTTCTATATAAAAAATCAAATTAAACAAATTTTTAAAAGAATCCTTAATGGTCGAACATATTTAATAAAGTCTCCCTATGACTTTTACTCCAATTTTAAGCTTGTATATGATTCCATAACACTCATAAGATCAAAATCTAAATTTATTTCATTAAGCTTGTATATGATCAAAAGCTTGTATAGGATGCCCAAAATTTTATCTTTGGAATACCTTCTTCTTTAATCTTCAACTGATGTTACCCAAATCAAATATCAATATTGGAAACACTTCTGCACCTTTTAACTAATCAAATAGATCATTAATCATCGAAAGAGGATACTTGTTCTTCAGAAAAAAATACTGGTGCACCCCAAGGCTACACACTTGGTCTGATAAATCCTCGATCCAGCATCACTTGTAATTAGGCTTTTAACTCCATAATTTATATTGGAGTCATCCAATATGGATCCATCAATATCGGTGTCATTCCAGGAAATACTTCAATTCTAAACTCTAACCCTTTATTGGGAGGTAGTCCTAGTAGCTCATCTGGAAAACATCTGAGTTCTCTCTAACAGTTGGAATATCCTCCAACTTCACTTCAAAATTTCGAGTATCCACCACGTTATCTAAGAACGCTTGACACCCTTGCAACTATAGTTTCTTAGCAGAAACAACTAATATCACGTTGGATAAGGGATTCACCCCCTCTCCAACAAATATCACCTCTTTACCTTCGATTCTCTCAATACCAGTCGCTTTAAATGACAATATACCATGGAATGATAAGAAGATAACCAATCCATGCCTAAAATAATCTCAAACTCCTCGAAAGGCTCAATTAGATTTCTCGAGAATTCAATTCCTTGAATCATTACCGGGCATTTTCTACAATATCAAGTGACTTGCGCACTTTGACCTAATGGATTTGTCGCCACTATATCACTAGAAGTTTGCTCTAAAGGAATTCATCATTCTCTAATTAGCTTTGTACAAATGTATGAATTTGTAGAACTAGGGCCTATTAAAACAAAAATAGGTGCACCATAAAGATAAAAAGTACATGTTATCACCTTTGGATAATCTTTGTCCTCAGTGGTCTTGATATTGTAAACTTTAGTTGTAATACGTGTCTCTAACTGTGGAGTAGATCTTGATGGTCCTCCGACTTTGGCTTTACCTCTGCCTCTTTGTGAAATAGTAATAGATCACTCGGTTTGGGTTGGTTCCTCAGTTGCTATAGGACTGTCCTTCATTAAATGGTCATTCTCTCCACAAAGAAAGCATACCCCAGAAACAACTCGGCATAATCCCGAGTGAGATCTACCACAGGCCCCACACAATAAAAAATCTCTCTGAGTTGATTTGCCAGCATTCAAAGCAGTTGATTGTGATTGTTTGCCTTTCCCAACACTCACTCCCTTAGAAATGGAAATAGTGATCTCAGATCTACTCTGAGGTCTGTAACTGAAACCTCGGCCTCTTTTGGACTGGGTTAAAACTGAATATGACCCAAGTCATTTTGCTTACTGAAATCTTTACTCTGCAAACTTCTCATCCTATGCTCTCTCCATGGCTTTGGCTCAGTTTATTGTCTCTTGGAATGCCTGCAACTCCAAAGCTAGCATAAACTCTTTCAGGCTCATACGAAGGCTCTCTATAAACCACTCACATATATCCTTCTCAATTGGGATCAACTCTGAGGCAAACCAGCTTAGCTTGTTGAATTCGCACTCGAACTCATAAACATTGTGGTTGCCTTATTTCAAATTCAAGAATTGCTACTTCATTTCTCAAATAATTTTTTGAAGATGTACTTGTTATTAAATTCCTCTAAGAAAAATTGTCAAGCACCTATTCTAGAAGAACATACATCGTGGTGTTTTTTCCACCACATCCTGGCTGGACCTTGAAGCAAAGAAATAAAGCCATCTAATTTTTATTGATCTAAGCAATGAAATATGTCCAACATAATCTATACATCGTGCAACCAGAGATTTCTTGCTATTGGACCTTCCTTAGCTTCTCTTTTGAATTCAGGAGCTCCCAAACTCCTTAGTTCCTTTTCTATGGACATTGGAGAAGCTTAAGAAGCATATTGGTATCAGTGTAAAATATTTTCTAGCTCTTGAAGAAAAGTCCCTTGATCCACCGCAGGCACTCCCTGAGGTGTTTGTGCTCCTTGCTGTTTCGACTAAGAAGGAAGTTAGATATTGACTTTATTGCTTGCGGTCCCCTTTGGAACCTCTTGCTTTCCAGTCACTCGCCTCAAATTTTCTGATTTAGACATTACTACACATAAATATCTAGATTAGTAATGAGCGACATCCAACATATAGCACCAGATTATTAACTTTTGATATCCTAGTGGCGTGTATAAACTTTAAACAACTTACAACTTTGGTTTAGGTCGAGAATCGGCTAAACTTACAGCTCTGATACTAATAAATGTAACATCCCTATCCCATATGCATCCCCGTATACAAGCTAAAGATGTTAAATCAATCGTATAAAACTTAGATTGTTTGAAATTCGATTAAAATTTTGTTTTTTTTAAAATTGACTATTATAATTAATATAATAAAATAACTAGTCAAATTAAAATTCATCTAAACTAAAATAAAATATGATTTAATAAAATACTATTAATATATAATTTAATAAAAAAAGTAAATCCAAACATTCAAAACAGAGCATCAAAAGACATAAATATATTCATGTTAACTAGAATAACAAAAACATCGAGAATATGTCATATTGATTCTGGATGTCTGAGCTGGTTGCAAAATGTAGGATGTCCTGCTTGGCTTCCTACTCCGCTAACTTTGCTTTACCTATGTGTGAACCAATCACACGCTAAGTTTTCCACTTAGTGAGGCAACATATTAATAAAATAAAATAACATATAAAATAAACAATATTATATAAAAACATAACTAAAATAAATCATGCATAAAATAGAAAACAATTATCAAAATTCTTTACTTCATATCAAATATGTATTGTTATATTTCAATTTTTATCGTTGCCCAGTGTACTATTATGAAAATATATGGTACGTGAGTCTATGATTGATGTGATCTATGCTATGTGCAATATAACTGCATGTTCTACGTTCACATTTAGCGCCTGTAATTGCACCATAGGTGCCCTGTGAACGTGCTTGTACTATAGAACATAACAACATTGTACTTATGAATCCCGAATACATAAATGTATCCGGTAACTATGTTGTACATAAATGTACCTCTGTGTGATCGATCAAATAATACTCCACCTCTTGGAATTCTAATTGTACCACTATCAAGTTTTATACAATGGGTTTATTCAAAATCATATACTATTTTGCATATAAAGTAACCATACATTCGAATAAAATCTCATAAATATTATATTGGGAAGTTCATACCCAAAACAATCACATGTTATGGAATAAAATAAATTAATAAAAAAGGTATATTTCAAAATACTATTTTAAAACCTTTTCTATAAAAATTGGTCGAGATTGACTCATTACAAGTCTTCCTCGTATTATCTTCAATAAAAAGTTTAGTTGCACTCATATGTTGCCTCACTAGCTTGCCTTATTGTACTTACTGAAGTCACTTTTGAACCTTATCCTTTCCTTTAAGCTCGTTTTCGATCTCGATATTGATCACAATCTACTCGAAAAATAGTTACACGTCTTAACAATTTCGAACATATATTAGTATCTAACTAACTTATTAAACACGTATTCGTATACAATCTAGAAAATACGATAATTAAATATTTGGTATTAATTCCTATAACTTAATCAATTCTATTCAACTCTTACAAAAATAATCTTCATAGTCCTTGAAAATAATAATTCTCAACGTTAAATCACTTAACTTTCACAATTTAATATTTAACCCACAATTACGCATTTCTTCAATTTAAACCCCCATATTTTAAAACTTGTCAAATTGTTCCCTACTATTCACTTTAATCCCTGTCAATCATCGTACTCAACCAATTCCACCATACTTCCAATTTGTAATTTCATTACTAACTTTCAAAAAAACTTGCAATTTAATCCCTAGAAATTGTTCAACTGTCCAAATCAACTCAATTCAACATTTTTATCTATAATTTCTAGCATAGTACCTTAATTTTTCAACATTTACTTAATAATCCTTCAAATTCTAAAAACTTACGAAAAGGTACTCTAAACCTAACACTGATCCAAAACTTAATTCAAACCTTATGAAATCATCATTCTATCTAATCTAAACCCAAAAGGAATTTTTATACAATTTTTCCTAATTTTTTTGGCTGAAACTTTTGATATTCTTCCCTAATGGTCTTCAACTTTGATTCAAGCTTAATTTAATCATCCACAACCCATTTCCATTCATTTATAATCATTTCTATATCAAGAAAAATCAAATTAAACACATTTCCGTAAGAATCGTACATGGACTAACATCTTCAATAAAGTCCCCTTATGATTTTTACTCCACTTTTAAGCTTGTATATGATTCCATAATACTCCTAAGATCAAAAGTAAACTTTATTTCATTGATTTATCACTTCCCCTTCTTCCACCTTAAAAAATCATTTCACTCTTTAAGCATGAAATCATGTAAAATTCTTACCAAAAGAAAGAGAATTTAATGGGGAACAATTTCTTATTTCATATTTTAGTACTAATTCTAATTAAAATGACTCAAAAATTGACAACAAAGCTCGCTCACCTTTGGCTATGGAGTACAAACTGATGAAGGAAGAAGAGAAGAATTTTCTTGAAATTTCTCCCAAAATATCTCTTTAAAAAGCCACAAAAATGAATTTAAAATTAAATTTGGTCCAAAAGTCCAATTTGCCATTAATGAATCCTAGTATTTACCCCATGCCAGCTTTTTATCTCCATTTTAATAACATTAAATAAATAAATAAATCACATTTACCAATTTTCATCTTTACCCTTTCAATTTTTTAAAATTTTAATTTAATCACTAAATTTCACTATTCCACTTTAACATGAAAATTCCACCAAATTCCACCAATCCATCTCAAATTCTAATGATTAAAAATATTAGTATAATATTTTTAACCTCAAACTAACTTTTTCAAAAAATTTAAAATTTCGATTCGATACGATAATCCGAATATCTTACTAAATTTAAATTATTAATAGACTTTTATATAAACTCCATATCAAAAATCTCAAACCCACTAAAATTCCATTCTTGGGTTGAATTACTCTTTTACATAGCCTAATATATCTTTTGAAAATTTATTTTTTTAAACCCTAAACTTTTACAACTTTATACTTTGGCAAACTAACTTTTGAATTTTACCTTTTAGTCATTAATCCAAAATTTGGGATATTACAAATCACTCCGCAGTTCGAACTCAAAGGAATTTGAGAATTTCAAGAGAAAATAATCATAGAAATTTGAAAAAGTTGTGTAACTAACAAGCATTGAATTTTCCAAATAAAAATAATTATTAATTCTCAAATAAATAAATAAATAAAGTAGTATAGAGAAGTAGAATCGATCCAAATGGACTAAAGAAGTTTGATAATATTGTTTCTCGAAATGAATCAATTGAAAAAAGTAAAAGAGAATGATATTAAAATTAATAAAAGTAAATAAAAAAAATAAAAAATAAGCATTGAATAAAAATAATGAGAAAATAATAAAGTAAATAAAGTAAAAGAATTCAATAGAGATGATATATCTTTAGGTTTTGTTTAGTCTCAATTTCGATCGATCATCGAAATAAAATTTTCCCTTCATGATGTAAGTTGGTTATAGTCAACAAGGCCCAACCCCTGTAGCTAACTCTTCTCTCTGGTTAACTAAAATTTCTAAGTCTATCTCTAAAATTTGATCTTTGTTGGTCTAGCCACGTCCATCGCCGTTAGATCCAAAATAGCTTCAAATTATGAAAAAGCTCAACTCGAGTTATATCATCTCTCTGAGAATCAAACCCCTTAATAGACCGCCACTAAGTTTGTTCACAGGAAGCCGAATTACAACCAACTGATCTGACTTCCAAACTTCAAGCAAAACAGTCTTCAAATCAACATGTGTCTTTTGAGTTAAAGATATAATAACTTTTAAGAGAATGGTCGGTTGCGACTCCAATTTCCAGAGAATAAAAAAATATGATCTTAAGGTATGAAGATCAAGACTCAATTCTCACGATTAGAGTTGAGTTTCGCAAAAACCTTTGGCTAAGTAGAAGTTTAGCTAAGCATGAATTGGATCATCCTTAGCTTTGTGGAAAGAAAATAATGAAAAAAAATAAAGAAAGAAAAGTAGAGATGAAAGAATAACATAAATTCAATAATGAATCGAGGAAAAACAAATTCTAATCTCTTTTTCAACTGTTGAACCTAAGGGTATTTATAACATGAGAGTTCTAAGTAAATAAAATGGCTAATTCCTAAATGAATGATAATGATATAATCAAACTAAAAATGCTACTAAGAGTTCTAAGTAAATAACTAATTCCTAAATAAA